TCCATCCATCCATCCATCCATCACGGAGGCAGCAGTCTAAGCAGAGATGCCCACACACCTCCTATAGCTCCTCTGGGGGGACCCGGACGCGACACCAGGCCAGCTCAGAGACATAGTCCCTCCAGCGTGTCCTGGGCCTTCCACAAGGCCTCCTCATAGTCGGACATACCTGGAACACGTCCCAAGGGAGGCAACCAGGAGGTGTCAGGAGCAGATGCCCGATCCACCTCAGCTGGCTCCTTTTGACGTGGAGGAGCAACGACTCTACTCCCAGCTCCTCCCGAGTAACTGAGCTCCTCACCCCAACTGTAAATCGTTAAATCCAGAGCTTTGCACCCCAACTCAGCTCCTTCTTCGCCACGACAGTCAGATTCAGCGACCGCATCACTGCTGATGCCGCACCGATCCGTCTATCGATCTCATGCTCCATCCGTCCCTCACTAGTGAACAAGATCCCGAGATACTTGAACTCCTCCACTTGAGACAAGGACTCTCCACCGACCTGAAGAGGAGAGTCCACCTTTCTGGCCTCGGATTTGGAGGTGCTGATCCTCATACAAATAAAATCAATAAATAAAAAGATAGATTTGTTTATAGATGCAGTTACTACCAGTTACTAGATGGTCCGCGTGCCGGACTGGAGTTGTGACAGGCAGCCCGGGCCACAGGCGGCTACGCTCTACCCCTTCTATTCATTTGGCTAGCTAATCTGAATCCTTCAATTCCATTTGGAGAGCGAGTGGTAGTAGCACTAGACATCTTCCAGGTATGTGAGGAAAACTAGCAGCAGTTCAGCGGACAGGATGAATGAATGGTAGCCGGCGCGCCCGGAAGACATCATACACACTCTGCTTTGTTTTTAAAACATATAGATATAAAAAATATAACTGCGGAGGTCTGGGGACAGTGATTCACCTACATGTTATGAATGCTGGCGTACCATAAAGAATAAATGATGAACAGTTTAGTTTGTGCCTTCAAGTCATTGCTCATAGGAAGACCAACTACCAGTTTTAGTCTGTGAGGCAGACACCCTGTCTACTTTTAAGGCTAGGCTTAAAACTTTCCTTTTTAATAAAGCTTATAGTTAGAGTGGCTCAGGTTATGCTGAGCTATCTCTATAGTTATGCTGCTATAGGCTTAGACTGCTGGAGGACATAGGGACCCCCATTTCATCATTCTGCTTCATTCTATCTCTATTCTCCCACTCTGCAGAATCTGTTAGTTCAATCTCTAACGTTCTGCTCTCTCTGCCTTTTCTCATAGTAGCTTCATCTGGTCTGTTCCTGTTTGGCTGTGACTCCATCCTGGAGAGAAATATCAGCTGTGCTGCTGCCATCAACACCTTTGTTTCTAGATGTTGGAGCTTGGCCTGTTTTTCAGTGTAGTCCTGTTTCTCTGACTGTGACTAACTGGATGTGCTCTCTTCATCCTCTGACATGGGAGCTGGCTCGGAGCTCGTCTTCCCGGGACGGGGCCGCCTGTGGAGCTGGTTGACAGTTGCCTTTTGGATCTATGCTTCTTTTTCTATGTCTGCTTCTGTCTCCTTGAACCCCAGTCGGCCTCGGCAGATGGCCGCTAATACTGAGCCTGGTTCTCCTGGAGGTTTCTTCTTGTTAAAAAAGGGAGTTTTTCCTCTCCACTGTCGCTACAAGCGTGCTTATTGTGAGGGATTGCTGAAGAGTCAATGAGTCGATGCAATCAGCTGGTTTTCCTTGGATAGAAAACTTTGAATCAATCTGACTGGATGATCTAGTGAACTGTAGTGCCTTGAGATGACATGATCTGAATTGAAGTGAATAGATTTGAATATTTTGTTCATTTTTAAATAATTTTGTAAAACATTAAATGTTATCAACAGTTATGATGATGAGTAATAAGCAGATCAGTTACTCAGTCCTTCAGTAGCCTTTTTATCAAATACTTTTTTAATCTTACTGGAGTATTTTGTTTTAAGGTAAAATTTTACTTTTACTTGAGTAAAAATAGGATGAAGTAGTGCTGCTCTTACATAAGTACTTTGGGTACTCTACCCACCTCTGATTATGACTTTATTAGTAATGAAAAAACAGATATGAGCAAATTAAAACTGGGATAATTCCCAGACTAAATCTGTACTCCTGACAGGAAGTTGTGAGTGTTTCTTTTGGAGTCTGGGCAGTGGATTAGCACATGTCTCACCCGTGTTGAGGACGGTGGTCCCTGCATACCACCCTGAGCGTCCTCCCCAGGATCCCTGTACGTTGAGCATCTTTAGTTTGTCAAACATTCCTTCAGACGCCCCGCTTCCCATCTGATTCTTGTCCGTTGCCAGGTTCCTAAGTACTCGATTTATTGAGGAAACCTGGAGGTGAATACAAAGTCACAGGAGAGACAGATGTTAATATGCTGCGTTCTTTTCTTTAGAAGAAGAAAGAAAGAGGAGGAACCTGTGGGGTTGGAGGTTTCACCTCAGAGCTGCTTCAGGTGCAAACTGAGGAGCTCTGAGGTCATCTAGTGATTAGACCCACACTGATCCCACATTATCAAAGGCCTAAACATCCCCAAGGGGTTTACAGTGGTTTTCAGTTTGATTGTATGATCTGCTTGGTTTGTCTCTGTAAAATGCCTTAAGATGTGTTGTGAATTGGCACTATATAAATGAAATGAATTTATTGTAAAGTTGGAGGGGCCCTATATAGGAGCTTACCTTTGAAACCAGAATGTGAAACCAGGCCTGAACAGTCAACATGTAAGAAGATACTAAAATGATGATCATGCATCAGCGACTAACTGCAACCATTTTAAGCAACGCCTCATGCTTTCAGAAAGCAGCTGGAGTTAAACAGCCGTTCTCTGAAGATAGAGGCTCTGTTCACTAATTAGAATACATCTAAAGCCAACTGCTTTCACTGGATTTTATTTAGGGGAGTCAGAATAAAGGGGGGGTAAAAACAAATTAACTTTTCACTTTGAAGATTTTACTTTGTGTTTGTCTATCATATAATCATTAAATACACTTTTATTATATTTAATTTATATTTAATTTATATTTAATTTATTATGATTTAATTATCTGAGCTGTGTTCTGTGCTGCAAGGGAGTCGTTAAAGGGAATTGTTGGCTTGGCTGAAGAGTTGAGGTGCTCTGGTCCATTGTATACCCCCAGCAGCAGCATTCCTTCTGGCTCCATTACAAGACTACAGACCTCTCCTCTTCAGCCAGGCCAACAATACCCTTTAACGTCCCCCCTTTCAGAGACATAGACAGGTATGGGGCATTGCAGGCTAATAAAGAAGCCAAACGGCCCCCATTCCAAAGGGGTGGACCTGTTCGTCCGTTTCTATTTGCATGTTTTCTAAGCAAAAAAAAAAGGCTTTGTTGGGCTGCTGGATAAAACCTGGAACTCAACGCTATTTCTGACATTTTGAAATGAAAAGGTTTCTTGGATGGGAAGAGAAATGTATTCAAACTTGGAAACAAAGTCCAGTGGATTGTTTTTTGGAATGCCTCTAAGGTTATTTTGTACCAAAAAATGTGTTTCTTTCACTCTCAGTATTTTTCTTAATATATTCGGGCAAGTTGGCGTTTCTTTTTGTTATATGGACATTAATTTTTGCCATTAAAATATCCATATTTTTTTAATGTTACAATGGTAGTAAGGTCTTGTCCTGGTTTCCAATAACACTATTGGCTGGAAATGTGGATTTTCAAAGTATTTCACTGAGCGACCTATAAAGGGTTAAATGGTGACAGCATGGCAGCATACTATTATCAAATCTTCCTGCTCTGGTTCAGTAAAGAATCATGCTTTTGAGTTGTACCAGTGTTCAGCAGACAAAGCTCATGCTGGCATTACTAAGCTGAAAACAGGATCTCTTACACTGGGGATATTGTCGTTGGTGCAGACTCCCTCTGCCAGCAGTCGGTCTCTAATCTCCCAAGCAAAAATGGATGGACACTCTCTCTTGTACTGAGCAATCTTCCCCACCACTTCTGGAGTCGCCACCCTGGGTTTGCTCCCTCCTATGGCCCGCGGACGGATCGAGCCGGTCTCATAATACCGACCCAAGATCTTACTCACGCAGCCGTTTGACACCTGGACAAACAGACACACATCTTCAATCACTGCATCGGGTAAAGAAAAACGGCCCTGACAGAAAACTCTGTGCATGAGTCCACCCAGCAGCAGCATTCCTTCTGGATTCACCAGTTTAAAGAAATCTGGGCACATCTTCAGTCATTCAACCACATCTCCCTGTCGACTGAAGTCATCCCCATGAGCCACAACGTGAGTCTCTGCAAGTCATTTAGTGACCCTCTTTTGTTTGTTTGCTGAAATATAGCGTTAAACGTGGACCAGTAGGGGTTTAAAATAGAGTTGACAAAAAAAGTGAGATAATCAACATAACTGCATCTAAAACTACAAATACTTTTCAAGTCACTTTCTTTACAAATAACGGCACCTAGTGCCACAATTATCAAAAATATAGCTTCCATTTCAGGGCTGCAGGAATCCGTTGTTAGCTCTCGCTCGCCCCGCTTTAGTTACACCTTTAGTTCTGTACAAAAAATAGACTTTAATCTACCTCAACTGGCGTGTATCCCTTTAGTCATGTACAAAAAAAACAACAAATTAAGGTCAGATCACCATACACTTAAAAAAAAACACCAAAAAGTAAGTACATAAATAGTTTTTTTTGTACATGACTAAAGGGATACACGCCAGTTGAGGTAGTTTAAATTTTTTTTTCGTACAAAACTAAAGGGATAAACTGAAGGATTAAATGGGTATTGACTATGGGTATGCTGCTCTGACCGCGTATGCTGATATATCTGAAACAACACCACCTCCCTTTATAGAGACCCAATATTAGAAAGAGGAGACAGGCCCTGCACAAGTATTAGAGAAGGAGGTACCAACTCCTTACCCTATCCATAGTCGAGGAAATATTGGATGTCTTGAGAATATAATGATGCTAATGTGGCTGCAGAAAGTCTAGCAGGGAAGCAGCTTTGTCTTTGGATGCGGAAATATGCTCAACTTCTACACACACTTAGAAATGTGGGCAGTTTTCATTTGTCTCCAACAGAGCTGATGGAAAGACGTTCTGGCACAGAGAATACAGTAGAACCCTTCCCAGTCAAACGCCAGCTGAATGGCAGCCCACTTCCCTGCAGCTCCCAGCAAAATCCCCTCCAACTTCCAGACACTGGCCATCTCCTGGGTGGCATATTTATTTTACTCTGACTCCACACTATCACTGAATTACAGGGTCTGACCATCCTTCTGCTCACTCTCGCTGATCAGGGATCTTTTAACATCACATCACTAAGCTGCTTTGCTTCTGTCAATAAATTAAGAATTTATATTTCCGTTTTATGGTGGTTGTTATGTCAGGTAGGTTGATGCATCCTGAGAAACACCTAAAGTTTGTCCAGGGCATGAAATATGCTCTGTTGGAAGGTCAGTTTCCTGTTCTAGAAGTAATTGCAGCTATTGTTTTCTACGCTATATATCAGCATAATGCTTTAAACTATCAATTTTAATGCTCTTTCATGTAAAAAAAAACTATAAGCAGAATTAACCAGGATGAAGGTGAAGCTTCTGGAGCCACTCCAAGCATCATCAGATGTTTATCAGCGTCTTGTAGAGGCTCAGCATACCTGAAGTATTCTGGATATGTCGCACGGCCGAGCGCCGCTGTGAGCGAGCTCCACTATCTTCTGCCTGGTAGAATCTGGGAGAGGTCTTCCATTTACAAACACGCCTCCAAGCTGGTTTACTCCACTGTGACCTTCACACACAAACACACAGGAGTGGAAACAAGAAATAAAGGAGAAACATTTAGAAAAAGCAGCCCAAAATATCCACCGTTCACTTTTTAATCAGGGATCCTGTTTGTTGGAAACTAAAAACATTTAGCTAAGCAGTTGGTGGAAATAAAATTTATTTGATGAAGAATGTAGCATCATCATCAGCATCAGTTGCCCTGAGTTCGCAGCAGAGAAGCCACTGAGCCTCCTGGAGACACGACTGAACGTGATCAACAGCAACAGTGGAGATGCTCATTCTGCTTTTTATTCCTTCATTGAGGGTTTTTGTTTTTTTAGGATTTTTGAGAAATAGTTTTAACTTCTGATCATCTAATTAAGAACAGTTTAGTTATTTTAACATCATCCATCCATCCATCCATCCATCCATTCATCATCCATCCATCCATCCATCCATCATCCATCCATCATCCATCCATCATCCATCCATCCATCCATCCATCCATTCATCATCCATCCATCCATCCATCCATCATCCATCCATCATCCATCCATCATCCATCCATCCATCCATCCACCATCCATCCATCCATCCATCATCCAT